TAGATGCTGTTCACGTTGTTGAAAACGCTCTATTGGGAATAGGCCATTTGCCCGATGGTGGCGTCATTTTACTACTACGACCAGAATCCTTTTCGTTTTTCTTTTCATGTTTAAATTTGGTCATCCCAGCGAGATTTAAATGACAAATCCGTAATTTGCACAAGAAAGGAAAACCCTGATGGATTCTGGTCGTAGCAGTAAATGATGTCATCGTGCAAATGGCCCATTCTAATTAAAAAAGGGCTGACATGCAAATGTTCTGCTCTTGTTGACACCCTTTCGCTCTGGGTAAATAGAACGTATCAGACAGTATAGTCAGGCATGACGCAGTGGCATGACCATATAGGTGAGCGAGGGGGCTTAATTATAGCATGTGAAAATGCAGAATTCTTATAGAGCTCACTCCCCGATGGTTTCAACTCCTGGTTCTAGAACTACATTTTGGCTCAGCGACAATACAGCATGTCACACTGTTCAATAATATATTTATGACTTTATCTTATCTGATAGAAAATTCAATGAAAAAATAGCACGGTATGCTTAAGCAAGTAAAATCTAAAGGCCCATCAAACAGACAAGGATACGCAAATTGCAAATAAGAAATGTAGAGAAAAATGCAAACTATAATCTCGGTGTCATAGAATCATGAAGATTATTTGTGTTTGCATGCATAATGAGAACAAAATCTTTGTATAAAACTTTAAATTGTACACGAACAGTATTTCATATACCTGTCGTTCTTATTTTGCATATGTAGCAGGTGTCATTCGTCATTCGTTTCAGTACATTTGGGGGAAAAAGGCGGGGGGGGGGGTGCCTACAATTGGGCGTAATTTTGGCGGCAGCTGAATTCCCTAGAGGCCTAGTTATATTTACCAGTATTTACATGTTATGTTACGTTCACATATTTTGTCCTTAGCACGTCTAATTAGGCCCGGGTCTTGCGGTCCTTGGAAAGTATATTCTGATGCTGAGAGGCATTAAATATCCTGACTTCTTGAAATCTTAAAGAAATGCTGACGTTTTGCAGGTCGCAAACACCTCACTATCAAGATGGTCCCTGGTCGTGGCTCGTCTGTTTTGCCGCCACGATGTCCTGGATGGCCGCCGTAGGTTTTGTCTTCAGTTTTGGCGTGTTTTTTCCAGTTTTTATGGAACACTTCAACGAAGATCGAGAGCGCACCGGTATGTATATGCAGACGCCGTTCTCGTTAATTCTGGTGTTTTCAGCAGTGTTTCAAGGCCTTTATTAGCCCTTGTAAAGGTCTGTTTTCTAATCACATGGAAAATTTGCAGTCCTGCTTCCCGGATGTATGGCCTCACGATACCATGATCCCAGCTACCGAGACTAGCTTGATTTTTGTTACGTTTTTCAACGAGCCGTCTCCCGAGAACTTGGCAAAACGAGCCAGCCTTGCAAACCTGACTCAATATTATCAATTAACCTCTACTGAGGGAATCGGGCAACCTTTGTGTCCCTCTATAGTACTTTAGTAATTTAAATTTTGTATCACTCTTTTAAGACGACAAGGTGTTGAGGTGAAACCTAAAACAGATAATGTCCCTTATTGGGTTTGTATTTTCGACTGATTGTTGATTATGATCATAACTGCTCATAACCTTTGTCTTAAGCTAAGTATCCCATAAACGCCACCATTTCCCGTTGATTCGACTTTGTGGCACTCATCAACCAATTTGATCTTGGATTAAATAACTTGGTTTCCAACGAGCATTGTTTGTGTTCAGTGAAGTGTTCTCTCTCTGACCAACTGAAATATGTGGAAACGAACACAACATCTAACATCAACACAGAAAATAAGGGTCAGCTTTTCTCTGTTTCTCAGCGCTTCTGGAAAACGTAGAGAATGAAGACATATTGTAATTCCTTGCTGTAACTGCGTTTCTTTCCTACCTCCAAGTGTAAATTTACAATTTGAACAAAAGATCAGTATGCCAATAACAAATAGATCCTTTGTCACTCTCGCAAAAGCAAAAGCTGTATTTAAAGTTCGCGAAAACACAATTGGATAATGATATGCGTCGGGCATGCCGCGTGATGTTTTGTCCGACTTTACTACCAGAAGAACCAAATCGAACGTTTTATTAATCGAACTTAATCGAACCCCGGTAATTTAGGTTAATTGTGTGTGCCAAGAAGGCAAGAGTCAGGTTTGTGAATAGTGACCCTAATTAAGGGAAGCAAAAATAATTTTGAAATATCGTCACCGTTTTAAGTACCACAAAGTAGAAATGATATTCTCTAAGGGCAAATCGAAAACCTGAGCTGTTTTCATTGGGTTATTTCACATTTTTATGATTACCGATTTACCAGAGAATTCTAAAGAAAATCCAGTTGTATTTTCAGTTTTGGTGGAATCATTGCTACAGCACGAAAAAGTGCAACTAAGGTTAAATAAAGGGCAAAGATGGTAAATTCCGCAATGGCCCTCAAATTTACAACCCCATGTAAACTGTCAAGCAAATGCGGTATTAACCATCTTTGCTTTTGATTTCCCCCTCGTTCGTTGCCTCGTTCGTTCAGCGCTCAGAAAGTGAGAACGTTGGAAAAAAACTGTGGGCATGAAAAAACAAGAAAGGGTGGGGTACAGAGAGAAGGAAAAATTTAAAAGTTATGTTCAGTCATCTATGCTAACGTAACATTTACACATTTTATTTCATTTTTTTTTTGTAGCCTGGGTTGGTTCTCTTTCTATTGCTCTTGTGTTTTTTACTGGACCTGTTTCCGGAATCCTGGTCAACAAGCTCGGTTGCAGGATAACAAATATACTTGGTGGTCTAATTTGTGCTGCAAGCCTTGCCATCGCTTCCATGTCGGAACGACTCGTGATATTATATCTTTCGTACAGCAGTTTCTTTGGTATCGGAGTCAGCTTTGTTTTTAACGCCGGCCTTGTTATTGTCAGTAATTATTTCAGCAGACGAAGATCTTTGGCTCTCGGTTTCGTGTCGGCTGGTCAGGGGCTTGGGGTGTTAGCTCAGGGACCACTCCTACAAACAATTATAGACAAGTATGACTGGAAGACAACCTACAGAATAATGGCTGGGGTTATATTTGCAATATGTTTGCTTGGAATCACCTTCGATCCTAATGTGAAGTCTAATGAAGAAGAGAAGAACACTGACCCAGGAGGTCCCGAGCAGTCGACCTTATCTCCCGACGATGCCAAGGCGAAACTGAGGAAACGGAGACGACGGCGAACATTTGTTGATTTATCCGTTTGGAAAGTACCTACTTTCGTGGCCTTAACTTTGTCTTCTTCCATTGCACAGTTTGGACACTTTGTACCTCAAATTCACCTGGTAATTTTACTATTTTTCTGCCTAAGTAATTCAGTCGAACTATTTTTCCTCTGTAGTTTGTAAAATTCCCTTGTAGAGAAAAGAAAGCGATTAAGATCTAAAACCGTGACCGTACTGCTTGTATCAATAGCTCTGCATCTTCCTCAACGGATGATATCGTGAACGGTGAAAGCTACTGGCATGCGTCTAAAGGTCTTGTTTCAAAGGGTCAGTGTCTTGAGATTTGTTGATCGTTATTAAAAAAAGTGAGGAAGACTACTCATCTGACTGCGGGAGGAAAATAAGTCCGAACGGTAGCTTTACCTAAGGGAACGGAGTAAGGAGAGTTTCAAGTGAAAATGAGGAGCGGGAGCCCATAGTCGAAGGAGCTGTGAATGAATCCTCTGCAACAGAAGAGGAAGCAATTTTCACTTGACTCGCATATCAAACTAGAACTTTAACCCAACCCAAAGTAACTGAATTTTACTTTAATTCCCTTCTGGCTGAGCAATTAAGTCGAACAATTTTTTGTTCCTTTGAGAGGTTCATATAGGAATTATTCTGTATCATTTTAAATCCGGAACGAGTTTTAAACAGGGACCAAGGAGGCAAAATGCTCGGAGCAGAAATACATGATAGGGGAGAGAGATTGTGTATATTGTGATTTGTTTTTTTCTATAGGTGCGATTCTGTGAGGACCTTGGCATAACTGCTGACATGGCGTCCAAGTTGTACATTTACTACGGATTATCATCAGCCATTGCACGTGTCCTAGCAGGCCGCTTATGTGACATCCGAGGAATAAATCCTGTTTACCTTTATCAATCAGCCGAGTTTGTTGTCGGTCTATCAACGATACTTGTTACCCTGGCAAACGATTACACGGCTATGATAGTATTTGTAGTCATCTACGGATTTTGCGACGGAATATTCATCACAACCCTGAATATTATTCTTCTGACGAGTGTAGATGGATCAAAACGGGCAGCTGCTCTTGGGTGGAACATGCAGTTTACAACAATTTTTATGGCCAGTGGTCCACCTCTTGCTGGTAGGTTTTTTGCCCCGGTGTAAAGGAAGCGTTCCCTGCAACAAACTCAAGTAGCTTAAGGCCTGGGTTACAGATTTTTAAGAATTTTTAAAGCAGGGGTGGAATAACGTATTAAAGTATTTTCAAGATATCCCATGACTAAGGCCACTCTTAACCAAGATATCCTCCAATTTCATTTAAATTTTTTTATAACTGCATCACGTGACCAACCAAGCCCTGGTTTATCGAGAAATCTTGTGAGTCGAAATTCCGACCAGATGGAAAGCAAACCGTTTTCCTTAGTAGGTCCAAAAAATGGCTACTAATAGTCTTGTCGTTAAAAAAATCGGAATGAGGCGAGGTCAATAAACGTCTTTCTCCCGTCGAAAATTTTAGTTAGGGGAAGACTGGCAGTAGTCAATAAACACCAATTGCACCGGCCAGTTGGAATGCTTCGAACTATTTCGAGCTGATTTCGTAGACACTTTGTAGGGACATTGTTTTGATACAGAGAAACTGGAGCCACTCGTTTGGCAAGTGGTGGGAATCGTTGTTTACAATTTTCAAACAATGGAGGGCGTGGTCAATCACGTGAACAAATAATTTAGTCTTTTTAAAGTTTAGTTTACTGTACCACATATCATTCCTCATGGATGTCTTTAACCATAGTTTTTAGAAACTATACATAAAAACCATAAATGACTTAGATCCACGCCTTAATCTACTTGAGGATATTTTTTAATTCTCGCTTTCTTTGAACCTTTGTCTCGCCAAAACTGACCACCAAGCACACCCGAAACTTTATTAAAAGTTTCGGTGTGTTTGCTGGTCGGTTGCATTCCGTATGTGAGCTGGTAACCGAATGTTTAGGGAAACGTTTACTGACCTCATGTAAGTAATATATAGATTTAGCCAAGGCTAAAAGCGAAGCTCTCGATAATTTTTATAGATTGCTCAAACAAAATATAAAATCGTATAATGCTAAGCGGCGAAGGCAACGAGAACGGTAAAAAAAACAACAACAATAGGTCTAATTAGCAAACAAGCCACTTTGCACGTGCAGGACACTTTTTTTGTACATTTCTTTGCCGTTGTTTTGCACGACTGTTACGTGAAACTCCCACAAACTTCCTTCCTAGTTACAAGTTTTATGGAGGGAATGTCGGACGTGTTCTTGTTCACTCTTTTTTCACTCTCGCTCATTTTCACCCTGGTGGCCGCTAGCATCCCGCCGCTACAAAATTTAATTTTGTTCCTTCAACAGAAAATGTCTCCTTTTTTTCCTTCTTTAGTTGTGTCTGCTTCACAAGACGCGGGTGGCCAGACGCTTTCCCGCCAAATTAACCTGACATTTGGCATCGGCTTACATGTAGTGGGTGTACGGACGGTCGTTCGTACGCTACGCAAAATTTTCTCGGATGGATAGTTTAAACAATTTTCCTCCCCTTGGTGCTCCGCTGGTGCGCTTCGCGCGCGAGAGCTCCGCTATCAAGCAAGCCAATGTTATAGATAACTGTCAGATCTCTATAAGACGGGCGCCTAGCGTTGGTCCTAATATCTTTCTTTATAACTTTTAGTTTACTCTCTATAATATACCCTTGGCCCCGCCTTTCTCTTCTCCTTTTAGTTAATTCTTAATAAAAAAGAAGGAGCATCTCTCTAAGACGGATACACAGTGTCGGTCCCAAAGATGTCCGCCCTAGAAGGAGTTGACTCCATTTTTTTTAAGAAAAACTTTCGAATTCAAAGTCATACCGTAAGGCCTAATGGTTGACAAATTTAGCTTATATGATGCCTTGCCCTTTGAATGGCTAAAATTAAGAATCCCTTTTGCTGGCCCTATTGTTGATGTTGTTGTTGTTGTTCTAGTAAGAAAAAGCCAGAGTAAGCAATCTTCGATTTCCTCTTTTATCTTTCTGTAGGCTTAGTGGCTGACAAACTTGGGTCATATAGTGGCGCGTTCTACATGGCGGGTAGTGTTGTGATGTTTGGAGCAATGATACCATTCGCTTTGCTTCTTACTAAAAGAAGAGTAACTCGAAAAAACACTGACCCCGCAGATGACATGCCGGGCTTGGAGAGCATGGTTGAGACTTCAAACACCGAAGAAGCCTCCCGAGGGCCTCATAGTAGCAATGTCACAGATCATTTGATTACGACCTTTCCTGGAACAGTCAAAGACGATAGCGAAAGCGAAAATGCAAGACCAAGAGCCTATAGCCGTAAAGAGTCTCTCCGAAGCTATGCCCATTCACAAACGGACGATGCTTTAGAGTTATTGGTTGATAGCGACAAAGAAACCGAGCAGTCTGGTGTAAAGGCGAGGAAATCTAGCCTTACAAAGAGGAAGGAAAGCGTTAATAGCCTAAATCGTGATCGCACAGCTAGTGTCAAAAGCTATGCTCGTTCTTTTACGGATGATAACCTGGATGGTGTCAGCGACAGCAGCTGGAAGTCTAGTCGCAATGGGAGTTTCTTGAGTTTTGTTGCTCGTAAAGGAAGCCCCAGGAGCTTTACTCATTCCCTTCTAACTGAGGAGGACTTCCCACCTGACGACGAAAGCGACAGCAAACGGCAGTTTGGTGCAAAGGAACGGCGGTCAAGTGGTAAGGGGAGTTTCAAGGGTAAAACGAGGAGCAGCAGCTCGTTGGTCGAAAGAGTTGTGAATGAGTCCTCTGCAATAAACGGCGGAGCAATGCTCACTGACAACGACAACCTCCAGCAAGCTGTTATCACATAGGAAAATCCAGATGAGTCAGAATGATAATTTCACAGGCATCAAGTGCCAGAACTACGAAGATAAAAATAGATTTCCCGGAATTCTTTTGTGCGACGAATTTTGCTTCGACATTAGTTTCGATACTGGGGGCCTCGTAACTATATCTGATATCAGTTTGATGATTGTGTGATAAAAAATAACTTGATCGAGATTCAAGGCCATAGGCTTAAATCTTTAAGTCCCAAGAGCGGCCAACATCAATGTTCTCCTAGTAATATCAATATATAATGACGAGGAATGGTTAAGAGAATTAATAAAATGATCATCTAAAAGGGAAGTGCTTTTTTTTTATGAGATTCTTTCATCTTATGCTTGAAGGCAGAGGCGGATCCAGGGGAGGGTCCCGGGGGACCCGTCCCCCCTTATTTCTAGACCAAACTGAGGCCCGCCCGCCCCCCCACCCCCTTATCTAAGGGTCTGGATGACCGGCAACCCCCTTATCTCAAGGTCTGGATCCGCCACTGTAAGGTAGTGTATTGAGACTTGTCTGTGAAACTGGGTCTTAAAGGATTACGTCAGGTTTCACTGGGGTAAATTAATTAATCTTTACAACTCTTTCGAAATTAAGAACAGTTGTTTGTTTATTTTACCTGTCAAACATAAGCCTCTTGCCTTTGGGACTTTGATTTCTTTTTAGAATTAATTTACGAGTGACAATTTGGATATAAGAGGAAATGATCACTATGATCTCTCAGATATTTAGTTTTTGGTTACTTCTCTAATGCAGCTGTCTATTCCTCGCCATGCGCGAAAATTATGTCGAAGCCTGAAGAATAAAAACACCTTAAATTTTGGCTGAAAATTACAAGATCCACACTATTGCTAAATTTCAGCTTAATTTGTCGCTTAACTGGCAGGGGCTCCGCTGATGTTTCGCGTCGGTTTACCCTATCTGGCTGACGGAGATCTTTTTGGTCTGTCACAGTAATGCTAAGAATGTCTGAAGTTTGACTTGTGTGTGCCTACATATATATGCTAGCCTTAAAAGACAACTAAGATTTCTCAGGCTATGCCACCAAGTCGTACAGTGGCGGCACGAAGATATCAGCTCTGTACAATACTCTAAAATTCGAATGTAAATAAAGTTTATGTATGTATGTGTGTAAAGTAATGTACCGTAGTTCTTGTGAGCCATTTAGCCCCGTCTTTTAGTCAGGATCACGCATTTACCACTCACTATCAAGTGAATCTTGCTGATTATTATTCATCCACCAAATTTCGCCGTTCCTGATTGGTCTAATCCCCCGTCTAATTGTTCATAGCCAACTAGCGCTGACCAAATTTGGAGGTTGCCGGCAATGTCCAATCATTGGTGTCAGTCACTCTGTCGGCAATGACATGTATATTGCCAATATAAGACGTCGTACAAGATAGCGGCGCTGCAGCTTAGCTGTTTTTGTAATAGTGCCGAGCCCAACTCAACTCAAGTACACTACACTAGCTACGCTACGCTGCTACTACTAGTACCACTACACTACGCTACGCTACTGTAATGGCACTATACTACACTACACTGCGAGTGCTTACATAGCCTACCATAACATGCGCTTTTTGATCCGCGCTTGTCTCGCGCTTCGCGCAAAATGCCGCCTTCGCCTCGTTTGTCTCGTAAAGCGCCTGTTATGCAGGCTAGTGCCTATTGTAAACTCTGAAACGTCTGCGGGAGTCGAACAATCAGGATGAGGGACGCGGTCGCGATCGCCTTCATGAATAGAACTAGAACACCTCTATAAAGACTGGTTTTTAAATAACTTTCAAGAGGGTCTCGTGCTTCCCAATTGTTGCAAAAAATCGAGGCAATCCGGAACATTCAGGTGGTTTCCATATATTCAGCTTATTTATAGATTTCAGTTCTATGCAGACGGTTGCGTTAATTTTTAACGAATCGTTAATCAAAATCCCGATTCTCCTTGTATCAGTGCTGATGATGATTTTGAAATGACTCGGGAGATCGAGGCAATCCGCTGAACGATTGTGGAAAGTATAGTCTTAAGTGAGTTGGCCACCAAGTAATTAAAAAAGCTTCAAAACTGAGTTTTAAATCGCGGTGCCTTTTGTCATGTGAGCGAATCACCAAAAATATGTATGCTCTGCTCTGGACGAAATAAAATTTTATTTCCATCGTTTTTAAATATTAGTACAATGAACGAACATCAATATCCTGAAAGCTTAAAAACCTTTTAGCCTTGATTATCTCGTGTTTTTTAATTGTAGGGCGCGACATTCTTTTCTCCTGAAACCAATTATTCAGTCAATGTAATCACTTGGTGCATTGTCACCGCACAACCGTTTTGGATCACTGGATATACGATGCGTTTAGAATAATTTCATACTTCATTTTCCGCAACATAACTCACGATTTAGGCTTATAAAACCTTGACGGTCTCAAGAAATAACTCGCAATGTTAGTTTCAATAACTCGCGACCAGCACCAGGAGTGTAATTCGTGATATATTGGCGTTAAGCCTGCAAACGGGTAAGTATAGGCTTCATGCACTGCAAAAGAGACATGAGAAAGTTAAAAGTCTCTGTCGTCTTATACGATTTATTTTACATGCGTGTAGCTTTCCCAAGTAACGGCGTTTGTGATACCTAAGGCCCCAACAAATTATCGCTAACTAATATCAGCGAGATATTAATATTAAGTATTTGCAAATAAAAAACTTACAAAAGAACTGGGTAGAAGACTTAGATGCATAATAATCACTAAACCATAAAATGTTAGCATCTGTATGCAACTGTTTCAAATGTGACGAGTGGAGAGTGTTTACTGACGTTAGGGACACTATCTAGAACTACGCACGAGACTAAACGACTGTGACCTTTGAATTTTGAATCTCTAACTTGTTCCTTCGTTTGCTAGCCAATATTAAGGGGTCTTACATGATTAAAAGTTAAAAGCACGCGGAGTAATGTCCTATTTTCTACATGCAAGCTGACATGTTTTGTTTACTTGTTTTATTTTTGCTGTACGTACAAAGTAACATCAAAAAGATGGTTTTAGCTTGGAAATGTTAGGACTCGGTCAGAAGTTTCAAGTTATCTGCCGAACACGACTCACGTTGCCACGCGAATAACGGGTCCGAGTCGTTCCTTGCGGTTACCTCGTGTGCACATAAATGGAATGAATAAGCACTTATCATGCAAATAACACTGAACAAAGCTGGCCTCATTTTTTATACATTTGCAATGATATACAGGTTCAGTTTTGTATTTTTAGCACTGATAAAAAACACAGTTTTGTCTGACTATGCTACTTTGCCCTCAAGGAATTTTGCGATGTAAAAAAAAAAAAAACAGCAGCAACTTCATATAGATAGAATAGAACGGAAAGAAAACTATCTACTGATGAAAATCAGCCTGAAAGCAACGCCAGAAATTGTGTAATTATAAACAGACGAATAAACTACTCACAAGACTGAATCATCGTCTTTCCTGTTTTCCACTTAACCGTTCTGAAATTTGACCAATCTGCATAATTTAGACAGGCCAAAGCAATTGGGCACCCAACAAAACCGACTTCAAACTTTCGCTTGTAAAAATTTTTATTTTAAATGAAAATTTGCATGGAATTCAGTTATTTTGGGGTAGATATGATGAACAGTAAGCAAAAAGTAAAGGTTTGCCGGAAGACTATATGACACTTAGTTGCTAAGGAAGATCTAGCGTTTGGTCAAGCGAATCAGGGAAAAAAAATCTCAACGAAAAAGCTCATCCTTGGAGTAAGAACCCGTTAAACTCACCGATGACGTAAAACAATGAAAACAAAGAAGTCAACACAATAGAACCTAGAAAAACATGAGGGTGCAAAACAAAAAAAAAAGTTCACAACCTCTTACACCGAGGTAAACCCAATGAAAAGGAAAAAAGATAAAGAACACTTTCAGGTGGATCACAGCCATAATAATGAGAACGTTCTCACTTGCCCACTGTTTGTTGTTTTAATATATATGCTAGCACTTGCCGCTTAGTATAAATTAGTTAATATAAGCCTCCAACAGTTTTGCATCGGGATACACTTTTCTTCACTTACCATCAACAGTAGCATAATACACTGCCGGCTGGAAAGTTAACTTCCTGAAAGCCTAGCACAAAGACATGTCGAAGCTTTGTGTATCAAAAGTGGCCCATTCTCAGGATGGTCACTGGTCTTGGCTCGTCTGTTTTGCTGCCACAATGTCTTGGATGGCCGCAATGGGCTTTGTCTTCAGTTTTGGAATTTTCTTTCCAGTTTTCATGGAATTCTTTGGAGAAGATCGAGNAGCACAAAGACATGTCGAAGCTTTGTGTATCAAAAGTGGCCCATTCTCAGGATGGTCACTGGTCTTGGCTCGTCTGTTTTGCTGCCACAATGTCTTGGATGGCCGCAATGGGCTTTGTCTTCAGTTTTGGAATTTTCTTTCCAGTTTTCATGGAATTCTTTGGAGAAGATCGAGAACGCGTTGGTAGGTTATGAAATGCGATAGTTTATTACACCCTGTTTAGTAAAAACATGACTCTGAATATGTTATTGAGTCAGACATTGATAAGGACGGTATAGTTTGAATGTCCTCTGTGAATCAAACTTTCACTGAACTGAGATTCTTCATGTGCAAGAAAACGTTGCCCTGAAATAGCGCACGAAATGTCGGATTTAAGTTAAAGCTAATCAAATGGTTTGTGTTGTCACACGTTATTAGTTTTCAGTCCATTAAAATTTAATTTGCGTGGTGAGTTCATTTATGCATGAGTCTGGTACAGGGTCAATATTTTTTTACGTTTTGATAGCCCTTATGCATGTTTACGTCAGAAGAGTAAATTTCACCACCAAGTCTCGTTTTCAAAATATAAAGTTGCAAAGTTTTACATAAATGAATTCCCAATGCAGTTCAGTTGAAAAGAATACCCACGCACATATAGTGCAGATGAGAAGAATTTTGCTTACAAACGAGGCTTGGTGACGTAATCACGCATAAGGGCCATTGACTTTTAGACTTTGCTTTACTTCGTCTCCTTTTGTTTTTAAACCTTCAACCCGATATAAAATGTACTCTCCCCTGGACTTCTAGTCTTGTAGAAAACGTTGTACGCATTCGGTATTAACAAGATAGAATAAGTAAAATGTAGATTTTTATAAAAGAGCTGACTTATTTCAACCACCTGCCCTCACGTCTTTTCTTAATTGATAAAGATAAGCCAGGAAATACACACACTGGTGGTCATTTTTGTTTAAGTACAGTCATAGCTCTATAAGTAAGATTATAAACTTACTTGAATTTTGAAATACAGCACGTGGAACCCCGCCTTACGCCCGCCTCGGTAACACGGTCACCTCGTTAGTACGGGTACTATTTTTTGGCCGCCCGGCTAAACGATCATACATTTTTTTGTAAACAAAAAAAAAAGAAAAAC